GATAGATAGATAGATAGATAGATAGATAGATAGATAGATAGATAGATCTAGGAACTACATGTAGAAAGCAAATGTTAAATGCTGCAATTAAGACAGAAGAACTAGCTGATTTCCTTGTGACCTGTGCATTTAAAATAAATGACCCAAAAGGACATGAGAAGGATCTTTGAAACTCCAGGAGTTGAATCTGGGATCCTCAGGCAGTACCTGTAAGTATCAATAAATTTGCAGGTATCTCCCTTTGAATCTGCCAAATGGCACCTATTGTTTCACTTCACTTTTCTTTGTTTCCCCAGTCCTATCATCTGTCTTGTTCCTCTGGCTTTCATTGTCTCCTGTTGCCTCAGAATGTGCATGTATCACCACAAGAAAAGGAATGGTATCCTCCTTCCAGATGAGGCATCTCTACTCACCTCCACTCCACTCCCCATGCCTGATGTGCTCTCACTTCAGAATTTTGAAGTCAGAATTCTACCAACTTATAATGAGGTAAGGAAAGATTTGGTTCTCCAAAGATCTTTTTCCTGACTGAGAAGCCCAAGCAAACCATGGATCTCTAGTGTAACATTGGCTGTGTTTCTTCCTAGCAGCAGTTCTCTAACATATCAGGAACTAAATCACTTTTTCTTAGTGATTTAATCGGGGAGGAAACGAACATCAGTGTCAGCATATCCAAAGTTGGATAAAATCCAAGTTTGACAAGGGATTATTCTTGTCCATCATTCTTTACTAAAATCTGTTTAACAACTCAGTAACAAACATCTGTATCTATTTGTTGTGTGCATATTGAGTTAATACAACTTATAAACTTCATTAGCCTAAACAGTTTCCTGGTGGGTTTCTGTAAATTTCTCTCTGTTTTTTTTTTTAAATCTCTGTGGCAAATGCTTTTTGGTAAAACACAGTTTCCTGATGTATTTTTTAAAATAAATTTCCATAAAATATTCATATACTAAGATGCAGACTTTTTCCCAGAACAAACATCCTTCATATGCATGTTTTTACTCCGGTTTTCCCAAAGAAGAGAAATTGTTCTAAACTGCGGCTGATGTTTTTCAGGCACGCATCTACACCCACTCAAGCCTTTTACATCTTTCCATTTGCCCATCTCTAAAGTTTTTTCTTAGATTCTAAGTCAAAGGGATCTAATTCCTTGCAGGGGGAAAAAGAGTAATTGCTTTCGAAAGCTTTTTAAAGGTTAGGATGATTTGTAAGAATTTTTTTCTGATTGTCTTGTATTCTTGTACTTTCTAAATTAAGAGGCTACCAAGCAATTTGCATAATCTATACAGCTAGTCTTCCACAACTGAACCCAACATTTGGCACCTTAAGAAAAACAAAGGGAAAATTTGTGTGGAGGGGGAAAAACCCCTTTGAGCTAATTTGGACAGAAAATTAAACCCCTGTTGGTTTATTCAGTTATTTTGCAAAATGTTTGGACTTAAAGTTGGAGGACAACATGCCACAGACAAGTTAGGAAGCAAATGTATTGGAACATCAGCTTCTTTCATTAACATGATTCCAACAAGGCTGTGCCTGAACTTGGTTTTCTGACTAGTGGCATTCCCTCAATGAGTGAAGTTGAGTGAATGAGTGAATAGTCCAGAAAACTTCCAATAGGAAAGCATTTCCCACAGCTGCAACTGTAGCTATGACATGAGGAGGGAATAAATAAGTAGAAGAAGAAACTAAGAAGAGGCTGAAGAGAAGCATTATTTAGATACAGCACCAATGAAATTCGACAAAGGGATCCCAGGATAGCATCTGGTTGTCAGGTCAAAGTCTTTCTTTATAATATCTCTTTCTCAGATTTGGTATACTAGATAGAAATGTTGTAGAAAATGCCATATAAAAAGGGAATTCATTTTATACCATTTGCTCCAGCTTGTAGACAAAGAACCATTTCCTCTGGAGGACCCACCTGCCTATGAAGATATTGACACGCAATGTGACTCCCTTCCAAATGTCTCCCTTCCTGCTGTGTTGATGCTCAACGATGATATCTCAACTGTCTAATGCTTTTGCTTGACTTTTCCTGGAATGCTCAGAAGTTTAAATTTTGATATATACAGCACTTATATTCAGTTAACTTGTCAAAAATGCATTTATGCTTATATATAAGATGTAAGAGTACCCACTTCCCCTTCCTCTGTGTTAGCTCATGGCTATGAGCAGACTCCATATCCCATCTACATGACTCCATATCCCAAACTTCTTGTAATTTTGGTCTGATGTTGAATATGTAGTAGAAGAATCCTTTAAGACCTTGGTCATCTAAATTATTGACCCATAAATCTGAATTTTCCTTCTGGGCATTGTCTTTCCTTTGACACTATTTCTTTAGTGATAGTTGGTTTTGCATCTTGTTGAAGTTTCTTCTAATATATGTATTGCTATCCCATTTAATAACACCCCCCCGAAAAAAACACGATTCTTATTGGCTTAATTCCTTAATAAAACCATTCATGTGAAAGTTGAAGTCGTTTCAGTTTTTTTTCCCTTTAGCTTGGAGGGTGGCCTAACATGTCTATTAGAACTCTTGGGCATGGATGTTTCTATGGGTTTTATAGAGATTGTGGAAAAACTTTGGAAAGGCTGGGAGGCTCTTTTTTTTCCATAGGTGAGATTATAAAGATGTTCATGTCTTTAAGTATGGGAGTTATTAAATTGTACAGGGGGAAGATCTGACAGACAACAAGGCTGATCTGATTTAATTTATTTGATTTAGGTGCCACCTGACTCCTGAACTCTGGGCAGCTCACTATATAATAAAAAAAATTCAAAAACAAACCAGAAAATACACACACATGCCACCTCCAAAACTAGGTAAAGAATGATATGGTGAATCTAGCCAACAACAACATTCATAGGAGGCTGCATTCATCCTTGTCCAATGTGCCTGGGGTGAGGAAGCCCTCTGGAATGCTAGCAGGGGGGGATATACCCAGATTTCAGGGCAAATTCAGATGCCATAGCACATGCCACAAGCAGATGTCACTGCTTAATTGAAGAGATCATACACTGGCTGATAGAGTGTCCTCTCATTGAGTTGGAAGTGCAGCCTTCCATTTATCCCATGAATGTGCAGATGTATCCTTTCCCCTGTTTCTGATAATTGCAGCTCTGCTCCCTCTAAAGATGGAGAATCCATCAAGTCCTGTTGTCTAATAGTTAATTGATTTTAATGTTATCTTACTCTAAAGTACCAGTCTAACCTAATAATCACCATGCTGCATATGGTAGTGATTTATATTTGTATGTAGTGCTTAGAAAAGTGCTTGAATATATTAGATCGCTCTAAACCAGAGGATGAGAAAAACCTTTTGTATACTGCCAATATATTATTCTTAGTTTAAATGGTATAAGCCTCTTTTAATCCCTGTTTCTATTATCCTTCTCTTTGTATTAACTAAGGATCCCTTTGCATTATTTGCTAATACATAGCTTCACACTGATTTAGCTTTGTAGAAAATGCAGAGGACAAGCTTTACAAGTATGCTTAAAGTCTGCTCAGAGGCCTTCAGATCATGGGCCATAACTGTTAAGCAGGTTCATCTTTGGCACTGAATGTTTTCAAGATTGAATCAATCGGAACTATAGGAATTCATTCATAGAGGCTGCATTTATTCATATTCCTTCCAGAGAGTTTTAGGTAGGTTCCACAGACATCCAGTTTATGTTATTGTTGTGGGGCAAATAAGAGGAGAAAGGCTTGAGTTACTTTTTAAATGAATAATGGGGGAATAAAAAATAAACAAGTGAGCTTGCCCACAAGTAAATCCTTCTTTTTTCCCCCTCTGATTAGATCCCGGCTGTAGAATAAGCCCTGATCAAATGTTGTTTTACCCATCGTCTGCTTTTCATTATGTTCACAAGAAAAGGGATCCAGTGAGGAGCACACTACCTTCCCTTTCATTTCCTAAGTAATGCTATAATCAGTTATGGGTCAAAAAGTGGGTCAAAAAGTGCAGACACAAAAGGTTCAGCTTAGAGATTGGTTTTGCGATTTATATACGTAATTACATGGCTTGTCCTGAATTCCTGAGTCATTTGTGGTGTTTATGATGGATATGACAGCTCAGAAAGAGTATCCCTGGAAGAAATGTTTCCAATTTCTCAATGTTTGTTCTGTAGTCCAACCTGATGCAGTTTTATGGTAAACAAGACCCTGGTTTTGGTTTCTGTTAATTGTGTTACTGAGCTGGTACTAAAATATGTCAAAATGATAGCCACAGCACCACAGTTTTAAATACTCTTAACTTAAAATTAGAATTGGCTGAACTCTCAGAAGATGTGGCAATTCCATGAGACTGATATTTTGTGATATTTCCCCTCTCAATCTCAATGTCCCAGGTCTTGCAAATGAAAGAAGAGAAAAGGAGGAAAGAGATTACTGGGTTTTAAGTACTGAATTATTACAGGTGAGTTTCATCTCTGCTTGTTTCATCTTGATTCTGGAGGTTGGAAAATCATTTCCTTTGATGGGCCTGCAACTAGGAGTGGTGAGGTAAGAGTTCCATCTAGTGGACAAATGAAATTACAGCATCTCACCCCAAATAACAAGAATACAACTTTGTGGAGGTTCAGCTCTAATGTGCCTCATCCAGAAACACAGCTCATCTCTACAGTATTGGTGACATCGGCCCATACTTCACCCTAGCCCATATTTTCATGTGTTAGTATCCTGTGTTTCAGCCTTAAACAAGCTAGGTGAAATATTTATCTTTCATGCAAAATATGTATTCTTCCATTAGGCAAGCTTGCCTTAAGACTTTTTCACATTATAGCCTTCAGCTACTTGTTTCTCATTCATAAACTGGCTGATAATGAAGCCAATAAAAATCCATTTCTAGATTAATTAAAATAATTGCAATTATTTCCTCCACTTGTCCATAGTGATGGCCAGCTGTTCTGTCCAGACTGTGGTTAATGAAGTCCGCAATTAATGGATTCCCCTCCCACACAATTTGGTAAAGCAAGTGCCAATTGCTTTTCATTCTATGCCTATATTTTTTGGGGACTGATAAGAAGCGGGGTGAAAATGAAGCAGCTTCCAGTCACCTCATTCTACAGAAGAAAATTGGCAAAACACTGTTAATGTCAACCAGCTAAAACAAATAGCTGGCTTTTCACCATTTGTAGACTTTCATGAAGGTAAAATCAGAAAATAAAATGGAAGCTGAATAGTCAAGACCTTGTTGATGATCCAAATTCTGTCAAGGACCTTGGAGTACTAATCTATAATTATCTCTAATTATCTAAGTGCTAGAGCCCACTGTAACTACATAGCCAAAAAGGCATTAAGAGTTGTTAACCTAATCCTACATAGCTTTTTCTCTGATAATATCACTCTACTAACTAGAGCATACAAAACATTTGCTAGACCCATACTCGAATAAAGCTCATCAGTCTGGAACCCGCATTACGCATCTGATATTAATACAGTTGAGAAAGTCCAGAAATATTTCACAAGAAGAGTTCTCCACTCCTCTACTCGTTGTAGAATATCTTATGCCACCAGGCTTGAAATTCTAGACCTAGAAAACCTAGAACTACACTATCTTCGGTCCGATCTAAGTATGGTATATAAAATCATATATTGCAATGTCCTACCTGTCAATGAATACTTCAGATTCAACCATAACAACACAAGAGCACACAATAGATAAAAACTCAAGGTTAATCGCACCAAACTTGATTGCAGGAAATACGACTTCAGCAACAGAGTGGTCAATGTCTGGAATACTCTACCTGACTCTGTGGTTTCTTTCCCAAACCCCAAAAACTTCAACCTTAGACTATCTACTATTGACCTCACTGTTGCATTGTGGGTAAAGAGACTTGAGACCCAGTTGGCTTCTTTTTTCTTTTTTCTTTTCTTTATTTTAGGAACTGAACATGGAGAAACCGCGGCAGCCTTTTTTATAGCCGGCTGCTCGTGGCTCGTGGCCAATGATGGGTCTTCAAATCTCCCACTGCCATAGACCAACCCATGATAGGTAAGTATGCAAATATATAACACTCCTCCCCATGTGGTCCAGTCTAACCAATCCGGGCCCTGCCTATATTACATAGTCACATAGGTAGGCGGGGCTCTTATGGTTCTGACTGGACCTGTGCAACTCAGTCGTGAGTTCGCCTCTGAGCTGTTCGGACGGGGTTGCTGTTTCTCCCGTCCTTTTCAAAGAGGCCTCCTGGAAGGTAGAGTTGGCCATGTCGCTCCCGCCAGGTCTTTCCTGGTTGGTTGAGTCGGCTCAGTCACTCCCACCAGGAGTGGCTTCCGGATGGTTCTTCGAAGGCTGCTCCAGTGTCCCCAAGTTGTTTTCTTCTTCTATGGTTTCAGGTACGTGTTTGCGATTTCTGATCGGGGCTAATGTTAGTATTGGTTGTTGTGTCATTGTTAGGGTTTGTTTTGTTAATTCTTTTACTTTTACTCCACAAGTAAAAGAATTCTGTTTGTGTTTGAGGGGTCTCCCCCCTTTCTGGTTTGGTAATTTTTGCATAATGTTTGCAGCAATTCTTTTATTTGCGGAGGTTCTCCCCCCTCTCTGGTTGGGTTGTTTTTGTTAGAGGTTGGTGGAGGGTCTCCCCCTTCTTCCTGATTATTTGTGTTTCTCAGTGTGGTCCTCGATCTGATTTAGTCTATGTGTCTCCTCTAGCTCTTCCTGTCCTCTGTGTCTACACTGTATGGCCGGGGCCCTGTTATTTGAGTTATTTTTGCCTGTATCCACAATGGTTCCCCTGTGAGGTTCTTTGCATATACTAGGTCCCCTGTTTTGAATGTGCAGCACTTACTGGAGGAATCTGCTGGTTTTTCTGGGCTATAGGTGGGGTGTAGTCTGTCTAGGTTTGATCTTAGTTTCCTTCCCATTAATAATTCTGCTGGGCTTTCATTTGTTGTGGTGTTGGGTGTAATGTGTAGTATACTTAGTAGTTTGTCTATTTTTTCTTGTATATCTCCAGGTCCCAATTTGTGTAGTGTTTCCTTTGTGTAATGGACCATGCCTTCTGCCCCT